CTTTATCTTCTCCAGGACCCTGCTGATTAGAGGGAATGGGGGAAAGGCATAGAGAAGCTGGCCTGACCAGGATAGGAGAAAGGCATCGGAGATAGCGCCCCTCCCCAGGGTCTCTCCTGGAGCAGAACCCGGGACATCGCTGGTTCTGACGAGTCACGAACAGGTCCACCTGGGGAGTTCCCCACCTTCGGAAGAGCTGGTGGGCCACTTCTGGGTGGAGGGACCACTCATGCTGTGAGGAAAAGTCCCTGGTCAAGCGATCCACCCTCTCGTTCTGGGCACCCGGTAGATGGAAGGCCTTCATGTGGATATTATGGGCTATACAGAAGTCCCACAGCCTGAGGGCTTCATGGCAGAGGATCGAGCCCCACCTTGCCTGTTGATATAGAACATTGAGGCCATGTTGTCTGTGAGGACCCTGACTACCTTGCACTCCAGGTGTGAGCTCCTTGACGTTTATTTGTAAGGTCAGGTCTTGAGCTGATCACAGGCCTTGAGTCTGAAACTTCCCCACATGGGCCTCCCAACCCAGGTCTAACGCATCGGACACCAGCTCCAACGACGGGGCCCTGTCCCTTGATAGGACCCCTTGGAGCATGTTGTTTGGGGTGGACCACCACTGTAGGGAGGTGATCACAGAGTCCGGCACGGTGAGGACCGTGTCCATCCTGTCTGTGGCCTGGGAGAACTTCAAGGCCAACCAGAGCTGGAGGGGCCTCATCCTGAGTCTGGCGTAATGGACCACATACATGCACGCTGACATGTGACCCAAGGGTTGTAGGCAAACCCTGGCTGTTGTCACCGGGAACCTTGTGACAGAGTCGATGAGGGTCTCGAATCTGTCTGGCGAGAGAGAGGCCCTGGCCAACACTATGTCCAGGAGCGCTCAGATAAACTCTATGCATTGGACTGGGACTAACGTGACTTGGTGTTGTTTACCAACAGGCCCACGGTGGTGCACGTGTACAGGAGAAGAGCCATGTGATCCCTCTCCTGTGACCGGGAGGTGTCCTTGACAAGCCAATCGTCCAGATAGGGCAATATCTGGACCCACCGCCATCTGAGGTAGGCCGCTAACACTGACATACATTTTGTAAACACCCTGGGGGCAGTGGACAGACCAAATGGGAGGACCGTGAATTGGCAATGATTCTGTCCCACCACGAAATGGAAGAAGCGCCTGTACCCCTCGAATATGTGGATGTGGAAGGACGCATCCTACAGAACAAGGGCAGTGTACCAGTCCCAGGGATCCAGGGAGGGGATGATGGAGGCCAGGGAGACCATGCGGAACTTGAGCTTCACCATGTACTCGTTCAGACCTTGGAGGTCCAGGATGGGCCTGAGCCCCCCTTTGGCCTTCGGGATAAGGAAATAGCGGGATTAATATCCCTTGCCCATGAACTCCTCGGGCACCGCCTCTATCGCTCCTAGACGTAGGAGCTGCCCCACATCCTGCTCGAGCAGAGCTTCGTGCGAGGGGTCCCCCAAGGGGGATGGGGGTGAGGGGTGGTTGGTTGGGGATGAAGTAAACTGGAGGGTGTAACCCCGGGAGACGGTGTTGAGGACCCATCGGTCCGAGGTTAGCCATGACCATTCCGGGAGGAAAGCACACAACCGGTTGGAGAGGGAAGCTTTATTGGGGGTGGATCCCTGATGAGGACTGGTGGGGTGCCCCCGAGCGTCCCGTCACAAATGCCTTTTCCCCACCTGCTTGCCCTTGGATGACCCAGGCTGGGGGGCAGGCTGAGACTGCCTCTTATAGTCCTGCTGCTTCTTATGGGCAGCCTCATACTTCGGCAGGGTGGCCTGGGTGGGAGTCTGCTGCGGCTTGTGAAAGTAGAATGAATTATATTGAAATTATAATTCATTAAAGAAATGCTGCTTGAAAGATTTGTTGAAATATAGTTGTCAGGAAGAGAAACATTAAGGAGTGTGAGACAATGGGTGCTCAAACTAATTAACTTAGCGCTCCTACTGAGCTAGGAGATTGGTAAACGTTAGTATGCAAATAAGATATGTATGTATATTTGTCAGTTTCTGCTTCCTTTTGTCTCTTATGTTAAATTGGCTTTGGCTTAGCTGTATAAATAAGTTAGCTTGAGCCTCAGAGAGGGGCTCACATATCTGGGTGCATTGGCAAAGCGCTTTGCTAATAAACAGAGTGGTCTGACAAATTATGTGAGTCCTGAATCTGACTTTGACAGGCTTGAACTTAGGTTTTGCTGGAGACGGGACATAGAGGCCCAGAGTCTGGAGGGTCATGCGGGAGTCTTTCATGCCATGCAGCCTTGTATCTGTTTCCTCTACAAACAGAGCTTTCCCATCAAACGGGAGATCCTGCATGGAAGACTGTGCCTCGCTGGACAGCCCAGAGAGCAGGAGCCATGGACACTGCAGAGGCCATTGATCGTGTGGCTGTGTCCTCAGCATCCAAGGCTGCCGGCAGCGACACCCTAGCGGCCACTGCCCCTTCCTCCACTAGCGCCTTGAACTCCTTCCTATCGCGCTCCTGGAGGGAGTCCTCAAACTTGGGCAGGGAGCCCCACAGATTGAATTCGTACCAGCCCAGGAGAGCCTGATGGTTTGCCACTCGTAACTGGAAGCTCAAAGATGAATATACTTTCCTTTTGAAAGAGTCCAGTCTCCGAGAGTTTTTGTTCTTTGGGGTCAGGGCTGGCTGACCCTGCTGTTTCCTGTGGTTGACCAACAAGTACTCATGCCTCTTAGCAGGTACAAAGTACTTGCGTTCTGCCTTTTTAGAGATGGGGGCCAATGAGGCCGGTGTTTGCCACAGGGCACTTGAAATCTTAGCCACCCTTCATGGAGAGGCAAGGCCACCCTACCTGGCACCGATGGGGACAACACGTTAAACAGGGAGACCCAGGGCTCCTTCATCTCCTCTGCCTGGAGGTGGAGGCTTGCTGCCACCCTCTTTAAGAGTTCTTGGTGGGCCCTGAAGTCCTCCTGCGGGATAGAGGCGGGTAGGGCCGCAATCGCCTCCTCTACACTTCTCTTACTTGCCAATAAATATTTCTGTGTTGTATTTGGGGAAAAACAGATGATATAGTCTCATCATATTGTGATAACACTCTTTCCATCCCACTAGTGTCTCTGGACAATGTTAAACAGAAGCTACTAAAGTTAGACATTTTAAAATCAGCAGGTCCAGATTAATTTGCGCCCAAGAGTATTAAAAGAGCTGGGGTAGGAGCTTGCTGGACCTTTAATGTTGATTTTTAGTAAGTCTTGGAGCACTGTGGATGTTCCAGAAGACTGAAAGATAATGTTGTGCCGATTTTTAAAAAGGGCAAATGGGATGACCCAGGTCACTACAGGTCTATCAGAGATCTTGAGCAAGATAATGCAGTGGCTGATACAGGACTCAATTAATAAAGAACTACAGGAGAGTAATGTAAATTAATGCAACTCAACATGGGTTTATGAAAAACAGATCCTGTCAAACTAACCTGATACCTTTTTTTTGATGACGTTACAAGTTTGGTTGATACAGGTAATAGTGTTGACGTAACATACTTAGATTTCTGTAAGGGGTTAGACTTGTTATTGCACAACTTTTTGATTAAAAAAATTAGAATGATATCAAATTAACATGATGGCATACATTAAATGAATTACAAACTGGCTAACTGATAAGGTCTCAAAATATAACTGTAAACGGGGAATCATTATCAAAAGGGTGTGTTTCCAGTGGGATCCCGCAAGGATGAGTTCTTGCCCCAACGCTATTCCACATTTTTATCTGTGACTTGGAAGAAAACATAAAATCATCACTCAAAGTTTGAAGATGACACAAAAATTGGAGGAGAAGTCAAAAATGAAGAGCACAGGTCACTGATTCAGATCAATCTGGACCATTTGGTAAATTGGGCACAAGCGAACAAAGTGTGTCTTAATATGGCTAAATATAAATGTATACATCTAGGAACAAAGAATGTAGACCACACTTGCAGTATGGGGGACTCTTTTCTGGGAAGCAGCGACTCTGAAAAAGATTTGTGGGTCGTGGTGCATAATCAGATGAACATGTACTCCCCCTGTGATGTTAATGTGATCCTGTGATGCACAAACAGAGTAATCTCCAGTAGAGGTTATTTTACTTCCATATGTGGCACTGGTGTGACCACTGCTGGAATACTATGACCAGTTCTGCTGCCCACAATTCCAGAAGGATGTTCATAATTTGGAGAGGTTTCAGAGAAGAGCCACAAGAATTATTAAAGGATTAGAAAACATGCCTTAGTTTGAGCTCTTGGAGACGATCACTGTATTTAGCTTAACAAAGAGAAGGTTAAGGGGTGATTTGATCACAGTCTATAAGTATCTACCTGGGAAACAAATATTTAATAATAGGCTCTTTAGTCTAGCAAAGAAAGGTATAACACAATCTAGCAGTTGGAAGTTGAAGCTAGCCAAATTCAGACTGAAAATAAAGCATAAATGTTTAACGGTGAGTGTAATTAACCATTGGAACAATTTACCAAGGGTCAGGGTGGATTCTCCATCATGACAATTTTTAAATCAAGTTTGGATGTTCTTCTAAATGATATGCTCTAGGAATTATTTTTGGGGAAGTTCTACGGCCTGTGTTATACAGGAGATCAGAGCAGATGTTCATAATCCTCATTTCTGGTCTTGGGATCTGTGAATCTTTGAATACTGAGAGTTTTGCAAATAAAGCATGGCATACACTGAATTAAAGCCTAAAAATTCTAAATCACCCTTATAACTTTAACAATTTCAGCTTCTTGGAATTTTCATTAAAAATCCCCAAACAAACCAAAGGGTCTAATTTTCACTAGCACAGGGCAAAGACAGCACATATTGACTGCAGTACAAGTGGTGGGTACTGTGAACCTGTGAAACTCAGGTCCAAAGTTTATAGCAAAGAATTGATAGTTAAAAATTAAGCCCACATGTTTGTTAAACTCATACTTACTAGAGGCATAACCAAGAAAAGAAAATGGACAGACACTTACATGAATACTAACTGTTCCCAACTCCTTAGTTTTTTTTGTTCTGCAATGCTCTGCTCCAGCTCTTGGCTCAGTTTTTGCCTGGTATTCTCAAGCCATTCCCCAGTGGCCATATTATTGTCATGTTCTTCTTTTTCAAGCTGTTCAATTTGAATAGCAATTTCCTTTTTATGCTCCTCAACAATTTGTTGCAGGAACGGCTTTGGCACACTCAGTTTTAAAAGTTCTTGAGTGATTACTCCATACTGAATGCGTTTAAGTTCTTCAATAGCTTTCTCTGTCAAAGTAAATCTAAGCACTTTTATTTCTTCACCGGCATCATTATCAAGCTTTTCAATAAGCTCTTCAAATTCAACAGCATGTTCAGTCAGGAGCTTTTGCCAGTGGTTCAAGTAGTGGCTAACCTCTTTAGTGGTTTTGAAAGTGTCTCCTATCGACATCTGCTCCTTTCTTTGTTCTTTCTGCTGATTCATTTACAAAAAAAAAAAAAAAAGATACAAGGTAAATAGAAGAAACCTCTTTTTAGTTCCAATCCCCTATATACATATTTCATACCAAGGTGAAATTATACATAACAGTTTTTTGTAATACTCAAAATGACAATTTCATTGCATACTATCAGCACTGCATTCATATGTGCCCAAAAGGCCACTATTAATTTAGGTTGAAGTTAGACAGAATGCTAACACCAACAAAAATGCAGTGTGCAATTTATCTCATGCCCTGACACATTTTCAAATGTCTGAAAGGGTCAGAAATCTAATGAACTGGTAAAATTCCAAATGCAAACTCTAATCAAAGAAATAGAGGAAAGAAAAGAAAAAAGTTTTATTGATATTTCATATTACACTATGCAATATTTTCACTGTAAAGCTAGCCAAAGCTACCCTTGTTTTAACACAATTTATCATTTAAGACCACACCAGTGGGAAGCATAGAGAATACAATGGAAGTGTTGGCCCTCTGCATGATTGCCAGAGCTCCAAGGCATTTTATTCCAAAGAGTTTGGAAGCTCAGTGGGTTTGGAAGGTCATGCCACCTGGTCCCACTGTGGTAGAATCTAACCCTATGATCCCGACCTGATGAAATATCAGATTTCACAAATGGAAACTCAGCATTTTCTTCATGTATATCACTTACCTGCAGGTTTTCCCAATGGTAGGGAATGATCTGGTCTTCTGTTGTCAGGCTATGAATAACTGCTCAGTTAAGACAATACAGTAGAACCTCATAGCTACAAATACCTCGGGAATGGAGGTTGTTCGTAATTCTGAAATGTTCATAACTCTGAACAAAACACTATGATTGTTCTTTCAAAACTTTATAACTGAACATTGACTTAATACAGCTTTGAAACTTTACTCTGCAGAAGAAAAATACTGCTTTTAACCATCTTAATTTAAATGAAACCAGCACAGAAACAGTTTCCTTGCCAAATCTTTTTTTTTAAACTTTCCCTTTATTTTTTTTTAGTAGTTTACGTTTAACGCAGTACTGTACAGTATTTGCTCTTTTTGTTTTTTTGTCTCTGCTGCTGCCTGATTGTGTATTTCCAGTTCCAAATAAGGTGTGTGGTTAACCAGTCAGTTCGTAACTCTGGTATTCATAACTCTGAGGTTCTACTGTATATTGTGGTAATGCCACTAAAAATTCTGAAGACTGATTTTCCTCTACTATCCTAGCATGGATGTTTGTTATCTTCATCGTCATAAAAGAATTAGACCTTATCTTTCAATTCAATCAGGGCTTTTTTCAGCATAATCCCAGGGTAAACCGTTACACTGTACATAATTACCTTTTGCAACATTTCTCGTCTTCTCTTAGTAACGAGTTTCTGGTGAAGCCTTTGCTTTTCCTGTTTTAAATTATGATCCAACTTCTGTTTAACAGAATGAACTTCTGCCTGAGCTTGATCTAGAAGTGGTCCCAAATGATTTTCAGACAAATGACCAGCTCTGTAATAAGAGTGTTTAATACCTGTTACCTTGAATACTTAACAGTAGAGAGAGAGAGAGACTGAGTGTGTGTGTTTGTACAAAGGCACATAGTTATTATTTATTTCTGTTGCTGTAATGCTTAACAGCCCCTAACAAGGCTCAGGATCCCACTGTATTGGACACTATGCAAGCAAATAATACAAAGACAGTCCATGCCTCCGAAAGCTCACAGTCTAGCATATAGATAATACGCAAGAGGTGAATAAACAAATGGGAGTGTGAGGGGAGACTGGGAAGGAAGGAGGGGGAAAAAACCAAGGAGATGCGTACATATATAGAGTTAGTGTTAGACAGAAGATGCTCAAAGTAATGTGCATAAACGAAAAAATTAGGGAGTGCAGGCTCACGTGGTTTGGTCACGTAAAGCACAGTCCTCATGTAAAGCACAGTCCTGACAACTAGTGAGGAAGAGTCCAATGGCTCAAGACTGAAAGACAGAGATGCCAACCCAAGAAGAAGTGGTGGTACGTCATAAAGGAAAACATGTTAGCATGTGGTGTGATAGAGGATATGGCACTGAAAAGAGCACTTTGGAAGGAGAGGACTTGTAGTGTAGGATGGGATTAATGCAAGGAAAAAGAAGGGTATTGTACAGAATTTTCAAATTAGACATGTTTTATATTTATACATTATAGTCTGAAAATGTAAAAAGTCTCCTTAAATGTTACATTTATATATATATATCACACATGCACAATAATTTTATACACACTACAAATGATAGTTAGCAAAACCTGTGTAAAGACTTTCACTCACTTCTACAGTATTCAAAATAAATCAAAAGAATTACCAGGATTTTGGATGAAAAGAGAAATATAGCAACTCCACAGACCAAACTTTCCCAGTCTTACACATACAGGACATCTTTTGGATTCAGGATAGATTTGCAAGATTATGACACCAGTCTAACTCCACTGACTTCTCTAATTCACATGAGTGCATGGGCTAGACACAATAAAGTATAGTCAGGTAAGTCTCTCTCTCCCTATTAACAACTCTAATTGCATTATAAAGACTGCTGCTATTCTTGTCACTCAAGAGTTCCCAAAATACCTTTGAACAATAGGGATATAAAGGAGGATCTTAAATCAACCAGGTTAGGCTTTTGGATTTTCGCTGTTATTACCATGACTCACAAGAAATATTTCTAATATTAAATACTGAGTATTCCCTAAAAGGAGGTTAAAAGGGTCAAAATGGAACCTGGGCTGAAAGTACTATCCCTAACACTGGATTTTTGTTCAAACCCTTCCTCAATTATTCTCCAAGTACCCAATTTTCAGAAGGGCTGAGCACTGTGCAGCTCACATTGGTTTCAAATGGAATTGTGTGCGCACAGCCCCTCTGAAAATCAGGACCTAATAACATATAGGGTTCACATGCCACTGTCCCAGCAAAGTCTCCAACACACTTCAACAGTTTGACTGTGGGCGAAATCTTGTAGTCCTTTATTCAGACCTTTCTCAGGAAAGGATTGAGACCAATTCCCATTGATTTCGTGAATTTACCTAGGATTTGTCCATATGAATTTAGCTGTCCCACATTTGTTCCAAGTTAGATTTTACCTCAAATTCCCAAAATAATCAAATTAAAGCGAAGTTGAAGAACATTTATTTAGTTGTGTGGCTTTTGCATTTTACCCAAAGTGAATAGAGAGCTCCTGTTCAAAGCCAGCACTTGCTTCTCCATCTACTGTTTGAGAGTTTACAGTCAATTAAATGAGCAACAGAACACTATCCCCTGCCTATCAAACTTGCTTTAAATTCTAATGAGGAGCTCAGCTCAGCCTCCCTCCTTATCACGTAGGTTTGATAAGTTTTGCAGAACTCAATTTTTTCAACTTCCATCCATCACCTTTTTTTAAAAAAAAATCTTCTGTGGGAAAAAGCCCACAAAGCAATCCCACCAACTGTCAACGTGCTCTACTTGAAGCCAAATAATATTTGTCCTTGCCTGAAACCAATTGATTATAAATTCCAATGATGTGACAGATAGATTGGGCAGTGCCAAGCCTCCCTTCAGCTTTGTGAACTGCAAATTCCATATCTAGGCTCCTTTCTGTGCCAAATACAAGGGAAAACAAAGTAGTATAACATGTGGGTGGTGGAATTAGATAGGAGGAAGAGCAAGTTATGCAAAATAATAATCAATCAAGATATTACTTTTAAATACCTTTAATCTATTTTGTGCTGGGGGAATTACCGAGGAGTCTCTGCAGCCCCTTTACAATCCCTACCCAGAGTGGAGTAAAAGGGCCTGCAGCAGGAATCAGAATTGGGGCCATGAGATGAAAGGTGGAGGGAAACTGATGTAACATGCCAGCTAAGTGAACAGGGTGGTGATAGTACACACACTGACTATGGGGACGATGATAGACACACATCTCATTAGTTCCAAGTTGATTTATTCTGTGGAATTTTTTTACGTGTAAAAATCTTAAAAGGCACTCAGATTAAATTGTAGGTAGTTGTGGGTACTACAGGGGGCCAGTAAAAAGGAATATGGACTGAGTTTCCAAAGACACAAACAATAGAGACAAGGACGTGTAGCCAACAGTTCAAGCAGAAGCAGAGTGTCAGCTAAATAACACTAATAATATAAAAAGAAAAGGAGGACTTGTGGCACCTAAGAGACTAACAAATTTATTTGAGCATAAGCTTTCATGAGCTACAGCTGAATGCATCCGATGAAGTGAGCTGTAGCTCACGAAAGCTTATGCTCAAATAAATTTGTTAGTCTCTAAGGTGCCACAAGTACTCCTTTTCGTTTTGCGAATACAGACTAACACGGCTGCTATTCTGAAACTAATAATATAATGGTTGTACCTCTAAGACAAAAATGAAAGCGTCTCCAGGCTACAGCTCAAGACTTAAAAGTCAAAATTAAAAAAGGAGCCAGTTAGAATGCCCAGTATAATTGGCAACTCAGAGTTATGATTGACAATTAAAAAAAAAAAGCAAAAGGGCTTCAGACTTCAAACTATAGTTTGTCTGATGGGTAGGTTAGGTTGTGTATAGTTGTATTATATCTGAAGAAGTAAAGGAAACCACAACTATTTTAGACAGATCACTCCAGTGTGGAAATGACTAAGGGATGGAATCTAATTGATTAGAAAGCCCATATGATGGAAACAATGGATGAAATCCTTGCCCCACTGAAGACAATGGGAGTTTTGCCAAGGACTTCAGTGGGACCAGGATTTCACCCAACTGGATCAGTATTCTGCAGATGTCCAGATCAGAATTGCAATGAGTAATTCCTCATAGTAAAATCCAGACACAAAGAGCTGCTAAGCAAGTCATTAATCTTAATGCAGATAGCAGGTGCTCAGCACCTGGTGGGGTCAGGCCCCAAGACATTAAAGGTTTATGCTCTGCTGACGCAATAACAACAACAATGGGTAGCTTAGATACCCCAGTTCTACCTGGTGGAAGGGGATATCAAAGGACTGTTTGGAGAAATATTTATTGATGCAATAGACTCCACTTAAATGGAGAAGAATAAAAAGTACACTACTAAAAGACATCAATAAGAGGAATGATTTGATTTGGACTTTACTGTAGATGATGGTAGGATTTAAGGCCACATATCACAGGAAATTATTGTGGTTTTATTAGAGATTAAAATCCATGGAGAAATTCATACTGCAATAGGAGTTCTTCAAGTCCAGTAAATTGCCAGGACTGGATAAGGTTATCAAAGTGTTATGAAAGAAATGAAGTGTGAAGGAGCAGAGTGCTTGGCGAAATGAAGCCATACACTTTAAAACTAGCAATTGTTCGGAAAAAAAAAGCTGTGAAGTCACTAATCTGGTGCCTTTTTGACTATCTAGAACACAGGAATTACAGAATGGTGGGGCTCATTGTGCTACTGGGGAAACCAGTTATTAAGAGTTCCAGTAAGGTTAAAAGAAGAAAAGGAGTACTTGTGGCACCTTAGAGACTAACCAATTTATTTGAACATAAGCTTTCGTGAGCTACAGCTCCCTTCATCGGATGCATGCAGTGGAAAAGTAAGGTTAAAGTAGTACAACACCTGGACAAGTATTGCCTGGACAAGTCAAGCCCTGCATAGTTTTTGTAAGGAAAATGATAAAAAGAGCTTTCTATCTAGGAGAATTCTTCGGAAATGTTAACAAAATGGTAGATAAAGCAGCATGAATGTAATTCACTTAGATTTTTCCGAACGCTTTTTTGAAAAGGTCTCTCACACGAGACTATTAAGGAAAATGACTAATAAATGAATAAGGGCAGTCCTGCAGTTCGAACCAGTAAAGCAACTAAAAAGCTACAGCGAAGGCTGTTCTACAGGTCAAATGTCAGGGTACCAAGGTGATTGTCAGTATTTGATAAAAATTATTAAATAGATTTTGAACAAAAAGTAAAAGGAGTTGATAAAGTATGATAATGACACTAAGTCAATTTGTTTAGTAAAATGGAGGATTATGAGAAACTCTGGATGGATTTAAATATATAAATGAAATGGACAATTTGACAGCAGAGGACATTTAACTTGCATAAATGTAAGAAAATGTGTATTAGCAGCAATGGTCTAAACTCCTAACATGCTGAGGGGCACTGAAGCTGTGGAATCTTCTGAAGCAAGAGAAGAGGTTAGATTGTAGAGAGTTCAATGCAGATATCTGCTCACAATAGCACATATACAAATAAAATGGCTCTATGAATTAAAGGACAGACAACAGCAGAAAATATTGCAGTGACATATTGCACAATGGTGGATAGGCCTCTGATTACTGTTATTACTGTTACTGAGGGTCTTTTTATACAGTGTTCTAGCATCCACTTGACCACACAGTTCTGGTTAAACAATAGGCTTTTGATGTAACCTTGTGCTTTCTGAACACCACCAGTAATTACAGGTTTCAGAGTAACAGCCGTGTTAGTCTGTATTCGCAAAAAGAAAAGGAGTACTTGTGGCACCTTAGAGACTAACCAATT